CACACACACACACACACACACACACGCACGCGCGCGAACACACGAACACACACATAAAAGGAAAATGAAGGGAAAAAAATAAGGAAAGATAAGGACGTTAGACGTTTGTTAATAAGAAAGAAGGAGCACAAACCACGCCAGAGCACCTGCTAACCACCCGCACGCAAAGTCCTGGTTTCACGGGGTGCGTGGCATAATATGTGCGTCATATTGGGTGCTGGGCGCGTGCGATGAACGTGAAGGATTAAGGTCTGGGGGACAGTCGAGACACGTCCGAGCGCGCAGCGAGAAGCCCTCTGCGGGAGCTTGGAGTTGGGAAAGCTTTAGTTTTAGTAAGAGTTTTACGGCACTCGCAACACAATAAGGTGATAAAAGTGCCGAAGATTAGAGGTGTTACAAGAAAGAGAGTAACAGACACAGAAAAGAAGTAGGAGAGATCAGGACGATAGATGTTTGATAGGAAAGTTTAGTTTAAGTAGAGGTTTTACGGCACTTGCAACTCAATAAGGTCATAAAAGTGCCGAAGATTAGAGATGTTACAAGAGAGTAACAAACATAGAAAAGAGAAGTAGGAGAGATCAGGACGATACATTATGTTTGATAGGAAAGAAGGAACAAACCACACCAGAGCACCCGCCAACCACCCGCGAGTTGGGAAAGCCTGAGTCCCCGAATTCTGGTTTACAGCCAGCCAGTGCAATAACCGTCACAGACTTGGTTCTAGTACAAGAGTTTTACGGCACATGCAACACAATTAGGTCGTATACGAGCCGAAGATTGGAGGTGTGAACTTGGACGTGGAGAGTCGAGTGCCAAAGTTCTGGTCTACGGCCAGCCAGTGCAATAACTGTCACATATTTAGTTCTAGTACAATAGTTTTACGGCACTTGCAACACAAGTAGGTCATATATGAGCTGAAGATTGGGGATGTGAGTTTGGAGGAGACTCGAGTCGAGTCCCCAAATTCTGGTTAACGGCCAGCCAGTGCAATAACCATCACAGTCAAGTTCTATTAAGAGTTTTTACGGCACTAGCAACGCATTTAGGTCATATACGTGCCGGGGATATGGAGGTACAAAAAAAAAAAGCACTACTAGAGAGTAGAGAGTAACACAAAAAACAAATAAACCAAAAACAACAACAACAAAATCCAAAAAGGGAGGAGAGATGGGGGCCGATATACGTTTGGAAGGAAAGAAGGAGCAAACGATGCTGGAGCACCAGCCAGCCATCCGCAAAGTCCTGGTTTCATGGGATGCGTGTGCGTCAGAGAGCTTAGAATTCGTGTGTTGTTCTGTGCTAATTTTTATTATTGTTATCATTATGACGATTATTATTACTATTATTATTATTTGTCACTATTATTATATTTATTACTATTGTTATTATTATCATTACTAATACTATTATT